GGACTTTACTGCGGTCCTGTCCATAGGATAGGCAGCTATTATTTTTATTTTATGTATTCTATTTTGTTTTATTTTATTTTTTCAATTTTGCAAAAGATGCTGGCTCATTTTTTGTATTATAATCGTTCGCAGGAAATGGGTAAGATGACTGCGTAGGAACTTAGGCCTACTATTTTTCAGTAGTAGGTTACTAAAATAAAACACAAATTAAATTAAAATGTTCAAAAATATTTATTTTTAAAATCCATTTCTGCTAAAGGCTAATTTACTCTAATTTACTGAAATTAATACTGCATTTACCCTAATGCTACAACTGCTAATGCTACTTCAGTAATGCTAATTTTGCTAATACGCTAACTGTACTAATGCTAATTATGACATGCTAATTCTACTACAGTCACCTTTACTTTCACTAATTCACCCTTTGCTATTACTATTCTACTATTATGTTTTACTAATAATTTTATCACAGTATTAGGACTGCTATTGCTAATTCTATTAGTGCTGAATTAATTACTGCTAATATTTCTAATTTTAAGGCTACTAACGCTGGTGTTACTGCTAATAAATGTTTATTCTGCTAATGCTAATAGAGCAAGTCGTCCTACAGCTACATCAGCTATGCTAGTATCAATACAGTACACTTAATTCTAATGCAGATTTTAATAATTTTTATTTTTCTATTGCTTATTATTGCTATTATTATATTATTACTATTACTATTATATGTTGATATTACAAGCAAGTCCACTGCTGCTAACGCTACTTTTATTACTAATGCTACTTATGCTAAAGCTAATTTTGCTAATGAACATCCTTTTGCTAACACTGTAAATGCAAAATTTACTACATCACCTTTCTCGTGTCAGTGAAGAGGTCAAGTTATCCTACAAATACAATAATTATAAGTCACACAACACTGCTACTACTCCTGTTAATTTTTCTAATGCTAATTCTGTTATATTGCTAACATACAAGCAGGGAGGACTTCATCAGTTAGTGCTAAGGTTTGATGCGATCTTAGCTAAAAAATAATCTAATTTTCTTTAAATTTAACAGATTATCTTTGCTTTACAATGCAAAAAATACCATTTAAAATAAAAAAATAGAGAAGTCTTCTGTCAAAATAAAGTTGTAGTTTTTAGTTTCACCACAAGGGGGCAGCAGGGATGTGCTCCATAAATGACCATCACCTGGTTCCTGTTTTATTTTCCTCCCACTGTATAAAGTGTCAGCATTATAGGAAGTGACTTGTAGACTAAATATCAACAGCTATGCAATAATCCTGTTTCTTTTTTAACCCAAACAAATGTTTGCTGCCAGGCAACTGGAGGATAAACACACATCAGAAATGCTCTCCAGGTTCTGGCCACACCCTGACTGAACACGTTGGACCAGTGATGACTTTCAGAGGGTGTGTCCGGTTCTGTTCCATGGCTGTGAAAGAGTATAGTATCCTCCTCCTCCTCCTCCTCCTCCTCCTCTGAAGGTTTTTTTTTTTTTTTTTTTTAGAGAAAGCAGGAAATCACAGGGTGGTTTTCTCAGCGGGAGAGTGAAGCTGTTTCCCAGCAGGCTTTTTTTTCCCTCGAAGGGTCCTGGAAATACGACCAGAACGGTTTCCCCTCTTGGAGGATCTCTGAAGCTCCGCTGGAACCATGGGGGACGTGGTTTCCTCTCACCTGGATGAGACCAGGAGGGAGATAATCACAGGTAAGGAGGGTGTGGAAGGTTACAAACAGCACACATAATGTCAGGCTTTTAATTCCTCCAGAATTATTCAGGTTTTAARACAAAAAGAAACAGTATTTTTTGRGTTTCTTGCTTTTTTACTCAGACAGAACGAGCAGTTTTTACCAAAGCGGAACATGTTATTTTAAGTAGCCTCAGATCTGCACCGTGGAGCCTGCAGAGGCTGGAAACTCTTCATGGATCTGCTCAGGATTCCTGTAATCAGCAGGAGTTTAATGATGCRTTTAAAGACCTGAAGTCTGGCAGACTTTAGTTTTAATGGAGTGTTTTTGACTGGAATGCTTTAAAGGTTTGATTCAAACATTGTTTTTGTTGCTTTGTTTCAAGCAGAAAAGAAAAAAAACTCTGTTTGAAACTCCCAACAACAAAACTGTTTTCAGGCGTCTGGCAGTTTGAAAAAAAAATGTCAGGATGTTGAACCACACCTGAACAAAATGTGTACCAAGTTTTATTCAGCATTTTAGTTCAAAAACTGTTGTAAAATATAAAAAATAGCAGCTATAATCAGATCTTTTGTTGGTTTATTGTCAGTCTGTTCGCTTCAAGCAGAGATACTTTTGCTCACAGAGTCTCTGCTGTTTGCATTTTGTGGGTCGGACCCTGAAAACGTACAGAACCAGCTGGTCTGAACCGTTTGAAATGGACTTTTTTGTGGTTTACGTCTCAGTGAAGCAGATGTTTAAGGCAGCAGTGGAAATAAAAACACGAGTTCCAGCTTCAAACTGGGGGACGATTAAATCAACATTTCTCTCACTGAAAGTATATTTTAGCCTCGGGACATGTGCAGCTTTCTGAAATACTAAAATAATCTTTTTTTTTGTAGCAAATGTTAAAAGTAAGGAACCAAAGCTTTAAAAGCATGGCAGAGGGATTATTATGGTTTGGGTTGAGTTGCAGACATTTAGCAGGAAATATTTTGTTTTCACTGCTAAAAGAACTGGATTTATTGAAGTTTCTGTCAAACAGCTAAAGAGAAACTTTTCTGTCAGTTAATAATTATCCTAAAATCACGATCCGCAGGATTATCAGCACAGAGCCGAAGGTGTCGTGGCATTTGCATCTCCAGTTTGTGAATTTAACTAAACATAAAATGTCTGCAACAAAGCTGAAGTTTACTGAAGAAGTTGAAGCTGAGTTGTTTAAACTTAAAAGCAGAACCTTAGCTAAAAGTAACAAAATCTTAAATTGCAAAATGCAAACATCAAAATTAATTAAAATAAAAACTATGCAGCATATTTTACGCTAAATGCAACAAACGTAAGCTAAAATCTAATAGCAGCAAGCTAAAGTCTAAGATGCATAGGTAAACTAAAAGAAGCAAAAGCTAAGCTAGCAGCTAAAGATAACCTAAAAGCATTAAAAAGTAAGCTAACTGCATTAAAAGTTAAGCTAAGCCTAACCGCAGCAAAAGAATACGCTAGTCTAACCGAAGGAAAAGGTACGCTAAAGTCTAAAAAAGGGTAGCCTAAGCTAAAAAAGCAAAAGCTAAGCTAGCAGCTACAGGTAACCTAAAAGCAGTAAAAGGTAAGCTAATGTCTAAAAGAAGCAAAAGCTGAGCTACAAGCAGTAAAGGTTAGCTAACAGCAGCGTAAAGTAGGGTAACATCAGCAAAAGCTAAGCTAAAGACATAAAGAAACAAAAGGTAAACAGCTGCCAGAACTTAGCTACAAACAGCTAAAAATAAGCTAACTGCAGCCTATAACAGCAGCAAAAAGCTAAGCTATAGTCTAAATGCAGCAATGGGTAAATTAAAAAAAGTAAAAGATGAGCTAAAAGTAACAAAAATTGAGCTAAAAGGGAAAGTCTCAGCACCCATCTCCTGAATGAGCTCAATGTTTTTGGTATGTTTAGCTAAAATAGCAGATAATGATTGTAAAAACAGAGACTCAGCGTTCACACGGTTAAAACCAGGGAGGCTAAAATGAGCCGAATGTTTCAGAGTCTGAACCGTTGGTCACCTAAACGCCTCGCAGAGTTCAGCTTCTCTGTGTCAGTTTTTAACAACAAACGGTACTTTTGTTTTCGGATCCCAGGAACCTCTGCTGAGTTCTGAGAGAAGCATGAAGGGAGTAATCAGGAGATAATGAMGTGCAGCAGGTAAAGACACGTTACAGCAGCTGAAACTGCTGTCTGCTCGTCACACACCCTCCCTCTGCGTCGTCTCCAACACACACTCCCTGATTATCTGTTTGAACCGCGGGCCGGGCCGGTCCGGGCCGTCCTCCCCTGACCCTGGAGTCAGCGTTAGTCCCTGTGTGTGTGTTATTAAACACGTCACATGGCTGTGACACACGCAGACACACTTGCAGTGTTAACACAGTCAGCTAATAAACACTGTGTACTTTATTTATTATTGTTAGCATGTTGCTAATCCAAACAAAGCRTCTAATGTTCAGCTGCTGATGTTTGAAGTTAGGTTGAGTTTTCTGGGTAAAAACAGAAGTTTGCTTTAATAGTTTTATAATTTCTAAACTTTAGGAGTTATTTTAACTCAACCTTTAATAAAAGAAATGGTTGATCCCTTTATTAAAACAGGATGTAAAAGACGACACCCTGTTTGCCTCTGGCTGTTTGACTTTTCTGTGCAGAGTTCAGTTAGGACTGGTTGTCAAAAGAGACATTTCTGCTCCTTAATAAAATATGTCCAGAGCCATAAAACGTGGTCAACTGGTGGCCCGTGGGCCACTTTGTTTGTTGAAGGGGGTCTTTCTGGACAGTGGGGTTGACATTATAAAACTAAAGATGTATAGTGAATTTTTATTTTTACCATTCAGGACAAAATAAATGACCTGATCCATGTAAAGAAGAAAAGTACTGTACCTAATTGAATTTGAGAGAACAATCCAACTTTAAGGGTGGAAGTTGGATTATTGAAGTGGCTAACATGCTAATAGCATGATCTAATCAACGTTTCACTCTTGGTATTATCGTACACAAACAAACTGACAAGAAAACTGCTGAAGCTTTCTGTTGAGTATAAAAAAAAACGTGATCGGATGTCAGCTTTGGTCCGATCTTCAAAGAGCCGCAGGTCTCGGAGCCTTACTGTGGTCCGTTCAGCTCAATGTTGAGGCGACGTCTCAAGTGTTGAAGGAGTTGTTGACTCGAAGGGCAGAGCTGGCCCAGTCTACGCTCCAACCTGTGGTCCTGATCAGGACCAAAAGAATTGGTCAGAAAGATCGAAGAGTCGGTTCAAACTRCTCAGGACTCCTCCAGAACGGTTACTTCTGGAGGTTTTCCTCTCATGTCCTACCGAGGGCCGCAGCCCTACATGTTTTACATGTTTCCTGCTCCAACACACCTGATTCAGTCACTGAACTACCTCTTCATGTTCTGCAGTGTGGAGGACCGACACTGACATAATTTAGAAATAAAAGCAGAAATAGAAAAATGAACCATTAAATAAATAAATACATTTAAAATGCACCAAATAAATTAAAAAACTGAACTTTACCTCATGTTTTATAATTTAATTGACCTTCATATTTATTTTTCCAGCTTAGTTCCAATAAATTATATATTTTAACACATATAACTTAAATTTTAATGTTTTAATATATATTTTACAAAGTTTTTCCTTTTACTTGCACATGCATTTGTGTCTCTTGAATGCTTAAATTGAATTATTTTTATAATTTTGTCCAACAAGTCTTTTTATTTCTATGTGTTGCATACTTGTGCCGCTGCAGTTTAGCCTAAAGTTTAGTTAAAAATAAATGCAGAGGTTATGTTTTCCTCGCCTTTCTTTTAAACTATACTTTAAACTTTTATCTAAATTGAGGCTGCTGATTTTGGCAGTAGGTGGAAAGTATCGACTTCCTGCTTATTTGGAGTCCAAAACAGTTCAGCCAGCACTTTTTTAAAACACTCTTRAAATTCATTTTAAATCTTTTTGAACTTTAAATCAATCAAATTATAAAAATTGGAAGAAAATCTCCAAAGATGTGACATTTAAATTTGAAGTCAACTCATGAAAATTCAGTTTAAGAACAGATTTAAGGCGTCTGACTTGGTGTTTTTGCTGCCTCAGTGTTTGTCCCTGTCCTCCCCTCTGTCCTCCGTCTCCTCCGCATTCCCTCGGCGTCCATCCTGTCCCGTCAGCTGTTTCCTTCCTGCTCTCCTGTCGCCGCTCCGCTCCCTCCTTCCTGTTCCCTTCCTTCCATAAACATCAGAGTGGAGCTGCGACTCTTTTCACAGCCGATAAAATAACAAAGTTTCCTCTCAGTTCACAACGTTTGTTTCACTTTGTTTTTAATTCATTTGAACCTTTTTATGTCGTTCAAATCATCATCAAAGATTTTGACATTAAGAAATAAATAAATAATAAAACAAATCCCACGTTGTGACGTCACCAGCTTTTTGTTCACTTCCTGTTTGTTTTTGTTTGTTTGTTTGTTTGTCTGTCTGCAGCTCAGACCAGGAGTGTGATGAAGGAGTTCGGCGGTCTGTACGAGCAGCAGTATGCCGTCGCTCTCTTCAACGCCGTCCGATTCGAGATCGAAGGAGGCGGCGGGACGCAGTCACAGCTGCTCCACAGAAAGGTCACGATGTGTGCCGTCTGATTTATTCTCAGGAACGTCCTGAGATTCAAACTTTTCTTTGATGTTTTATTTGTGAATAAGCTTATTTACATTTAAAAAGTCTTTATAAGGTTGTTGAGTTTGAATGAAGATTAAAGTTAAATATCAGTTTAGACGAGTGCAGATGAAACGTTTAATTTAAATTTTTACTTTTATTTTCAGATTTTTAAGCTTTTCATTTATTTTGTTTTGATTTTTTTAAATATAAAATTTTGAGCTGAAAGTTTGTTTTAAAACCAGAACCCTTTTGTCCACCTCTGGTTTCTGGTTGTTGTTGTTGTTATTAATATCATTATTATTATTATTATTATTAATGTTTTTTTGTTTTCCCAGGACCCTCTGCTGGATCGAACCATTTTCTCYGGGAGTTTGTTCCACAACCTGGAGGAGAACAGGAAGTGGAGGGTCCGGTTTGTGTCGGTGCCCAACAACTACACCCTGAACTTTTACGAGAGCAAAGCGGTGAGATCCTCTTGTTTCTGTTRTTCTTCTTTAGGCTGTTCCCTKCCTGTYATTGTTTTTTTAATGCTGGGAAATAAAAAAAATACAGATGACTTGAATAACACTTCTTTTTTTTTCTGCACGTTAAAAAAATGTTTGATTTATTCTTTTTACTTTTTACTCTGTGTCTGTCTTAGATTCTGTTTCCTTTATATTAGCATTCATGCTAACTGCATGCTAACTGTATTTTACCTCCAGTTTTCTGTCAATTTGCTCTTCTTCATTTTTGTCAACGTCTCCATCGTCTTCCTTCACTGCTGGAGAATTCACCGTCAACACTTGTGTGAAAAACGTTGCTGTTATTGTCCCAGAAGTTTCARAACAAAATGAAAGTTTTAGCTTTTTTGACACAAAGCAACCCTTCAAAATAAAAGCCCTAASACACAACCGTTCAGTGGATTAGTCCTGAGAACACGTTGATTTAATTTGTCTCCTACGTCTCAGGACCTGCAGTGACATACGATGAGATGATGATGCTCTAGTCCGGTCTGTCCTCAACTCAAAGTATTTGTTATTGATGGGATGTTAGACTGTTTCGGCTCCCAAACAGCTTCGTTTATCATCACCTGTAGCCTCATGCAAGACCTGAACTTCCTACGACCAGTAATTAATTATTTATTTATTTATAAAACAACAAATCCTTAAAAAAAAAACAAAGTAAATTAATTACTGAATGAAAAAGGTGCAGAAAGATGAAAAAATCTGATATCTGCCCTGTATTAAAAAAAATACAAACAACCTACTTAATAACAACAATCTCCATTTTTGAGAAAATAAAACCAAAACCTAAATAAAAAAATCAAAAAGACTTCAAGTCCTGGACAACACACACACACACACACACACACACACACACACACACACACACACACACACA